AGACCAGACCAAACAGAGCTAATCAGGTTAGCCTGAGAAGATAATGAATTTTCTAGACAAAGGAAGCATGATAGATCCCATCCATGCAGACTTCAGCACAGTCTGTGATGGAGTGCCACGTGGGAAACTCCTAAATGAAAAAGATGGGGATTAGCAGAACTGCAAGGCCAGGAACCTGGTGAAAGGAGAAGCAGTGTTGAAAGAAGGGCCAGAATGGATGGAGGCCACCAGCAGAGCTCCGCAAGGAATGGTCAGGAGACTGATCTTATTAACTATTTTTATTAATGATCTTGGCACAAAAAGCAAGTGTGTTAATGAAATCTGCTGATGACACAAAGTTGGAAAGCAGCATCAGCACGGACGAAAGCTGGGACAGCACACAGGAAAATAACGGGCAACTTTAGAGACAAATGGCGGAAGGTTGAAATCCAATGGGATGGAAGAGGAAGCCACACACTTCAGACAAACAATAGCTTTTGCTATGAGGAGGACAGAAAATCAGCTCAGGTGGAAAATGTTGAAGAGTGAGAAAGGCCCAAGCAAACAGCTCAAAACAAAACTGAGGCACCAAGATGGTGTAATTGAAATCTGCCCAGCATCCAGAGAAAAGCTAGAGCCATGGACAGGCCATCACAAGGAGGCTCCAGCGGTGCTGGTTCTCATGCTTAAAAAACCAAAGTGTTTAAATAGGACTAAGTGTAAGAAAAGGCTTATCAGAAAACAGAGAGATTAATTCTGGAGATTAAATACGTAAAGATGCTTGTTCACCCCACAAAACAAAAGCTGGGAGGGAACACTGAGTGATCTCCTAGACACACACGTTTGGGGGAGTGAAATAAAAGAGGGGAAAGATCTATTCAAGACACCAAAACAAGGGTTGCGCGTGAGCAACATGAAGTACCCCTGACAAGTCCAGGCTGGAATAAGTTTATGACCATTGCAGTCTTCTAATGGGAGTAATAGGGGGGAAAAAACAAGCTTGTTCTCAGAAATTTATCTTGAAGGGATCCTATGACCCAGAAGGCTCTTTCTGTACTTTCCAGCTAAACACACACAGAGCTGACACCACCAGCCAACGCCAAGCTCCTCACCTGCAAGAAAATACATAAAACCACTCCAAACCACCTTTTAAAACACCAGAACTGTTCGTGACAACTTCGGTCCGCTCCCTCCCATCAGCTGAATCCATTTCAACATCTCAGCATAAGCAATTTTAAGCCAAATACTTAACCTCTGAATACAGTGTGTGCGAGGAAGAGCCAGCACAGACAGGCCACGAGCTGGCCAGAAGGCACAAAGGCATTGGGGGAGTGAGGACCAGATTGCTGGGCATCTGCCACCAGCAAAGGCATCATCTCACACCACTGGCTGACCGTCTGTATGTGCTGAATCGGAAAGCACACATTGGGATGTCTCTTCACCCTGTTAGTCATCCCATGAGCTCCTCACCTGCTCCTCAGGGACTCAGAGCTAACAAAACTAAGGAAAAGTGTTTCATATTATGGGGAAACAAGATGGCAAGACAACAAATGAACTTAGATGAGCAATGTGCTGAAGTTACTGGACCAGTTCATTTAAAAGTTGTTCCATTAACATAAATTAATGAAGCCACATTTCCCACTATGTTCCTAAACTAATCTGCTTTGAGGCTTCTCTGGTGTCTAATGAGACTTGAGCTCATCCTGCCTTCCCACCCCCCCCACCCCCCGTCAACAGGGCCCTTAATTGGGTCTCTAACGAGAATAGATGCAGTAACTCCTTATCTTTGTGACCTCTATCTCCAACTAATCTCAGCTTCAATTAGATAGCGGGCTCAGAATTCAGTAGGGCAAGGTGGGAGGAAGAGCATGGCAGCACACACACAGCAGGGCTGCAAACCCATCAGTTCCTCCCTAAAACAGGCTCACCTCCAGAAGACCTCTGCTTCCCCCGGTGCATCTAACCTGTGTCCTCACGGTGAAGGAAAACGAGCTGTGTGAGAGGAAGATAACACTTCAGGGAGCTCAGATGAGACCTACAGCACAAGGGAGGATGATGCACAAGGTAGCAAGACTAGCGGAAAGCAAAATCATAGAATCACAGACTGATTTGGGGTAATGGGTAAGGAAGGGAACTTAAAGCTTATCCAGCTCCAACCCCCTGCCACAGGCAGGGACACCTTCCACTAGAGCAGGTTGCTCCAAGCCCCTGTGTCCAACCTGGCCTTGAACACTGCCAGGGATGGGGCAGCCACAGCTTCTCTGGGCACCCTGTGCCAGCACCTCAGCACCCTCACAGGGAAGAACTTCTGCCTAAGAGCTCATCTCAGTCTCCCTCTGTAGCATTTCTTTCAGATCCTGTAGCAAGATCCGTTGGACTCTTGGCATTCCCTGATAGGCTGGCTGGCAGCAAGTGAGGGCTGCAGGAGAAGGGAATGAGCAGATAGAAAAGCACAGATGAAACTTTGTCTTCTGCTCATCGCCTCAGCCACCTCCCTGGGCTGCTTTGCTCTGGGAAGGATGGACGTGCCCGTGTGTTTAAGACACACGATCTGTGAAGACAAGAGACAAGCCCACTTTAACCAACAGATTCATTGTTCTTCTGCGGAAGTTTCTTCTCAAAGCTTTCTCGCAGGGCAACAGCTCACAACAAGCTTTTCAACATGTAACTTCTTGAAGTGGAAGAAAGTAAAGGAAGGGGGAAAAAAAAAAATCAGGAAAATGTGTAACTTGCCAGGCCAAGAAAACTCATCCCATAGAAGCAGAGACAGGTAACTCAGAGCCAGTGCAGTTGTCAGAGCAACACCGGGGAGGAATATCGGTGTAACTGCTCCAAGAGTCAGACTGCAGGAAAAGTTGATCTAATGGTATGTTGCACCCGCTTCTCCACTGAGAACAATCTAAATGGATGGGGACTTGCTCATCTAAACACACAGCAAACGTCAGAGGAACAAACCTGGGTAACTGTCACCCGTAATTTATAAACCAAATTACATCCATGGCAAAAACCCTGTAACTTAGAACAGAGCGATTGTAGAATCTGGCAGAAGAAGGCCTCAGCCTGCATGAATCATTATTTTCTAGAGGAATCCTTATATAATCCAAGCTATTCTGTTTAAAATCTTCCTAAAAACCCAATTAGAAGTTTGGCAAAGCTTTGTCTTTAATCCAGGCATTTTGGCCATTTGCTAAGGTTGAAAAAATCCTACCTGGTACAAACTATCTTTACTCAGCATCTCCCAAAACCTGAATCAGAAGGCAAAGGGGGCTACCTGGGGCTGGTGAAGGTGATTTGATTGCAATGCCATCTTGTGGAATAGGAAAAAAAGAAAGACAAAAACAAACTTGCTCAGCCACCACTCTGCAAGTGTTCATTTCCCAGGACACAGCTACTGGCCCTGCAGGGGGTTGCTTCTCATTTTCATCATTTGTCTGGAAGGTTAGAGGGATGTACACAGTAATAATTGCAAAGACATGGTCTGCTTCCTTCACACTGCTTGGAAGGAGATGGGTAAATCTGTTAGAAATAAGAGTTTGCTCTTTTTTTGCTTGTTTTTACTATGACAAAGTCATAACCTTCTGTGTTGCTTCCCCAGGACACCAGCCTTTCTCCTTAGCTATGGGTGAGTCACCAAACGGAGTGATTTGGGTAGGCCCATAGCAAGGAGTTGGAATTTTAGGTGATGATGATCTTTAGGGTCCCTTCCAACCGAAACCATTCTACGATTCTATGGTTCTATGATCAGGAGTAGGATCACTCTGATCCCCCAGATCTCCCCCCCAAGCCATGGTCCCCAAGTCAGGTTAACAGGACCTGAAGAACATTTGTGTTCTTGGCTGCAGCCACCTCTGCATATGTCGCATCTGGTAATCAGGCTCCCAGCTGTGCCCTCTGTTACTAAAATCCCTGTATTTCATTCAGACACAAACTCTTCAGGATGCTCTTATCATAACCAAAGCCTGGATTAACCATCCTCTCTGCGGGGAGCTGACTACCTATGTCTTTAGGTAAAAAAAAAAATACAAATCTACAAAACTCAAGGATGTGGGAAAGTTACCAAAAAGCACCATCCAGGTAAGCCAGGATGTAGCTGTGGACAATGACAGACTTCCTCCTCTGGGATGAGGTCAATTGCAGGAAGAAAGAACTACAGACTTTTGGCAGACTCCTCAATGTCTCTCTTGCAGTGAGGGCCCAGAACTGACACAGGATTCAAGGTGCAGCCTCACCAGTGCCCAGTGCAGGGGGACGGTCACTGCCCTGGCCCTGCTGCCACACTGGTGCTGGGACAGGCCAGGATGCTGGTGGCTTCTTGGCTGCCTGAGCACAAGCTGCTTCTGGTCCGCTCCATCAATCAGCACCCACAGGTCCTTTTCCATCAAGCAGCTTTCCAGCCACTCTTCCCTAAGCCGGGAGCATTGCATGAGGTTGTTGTGACCCAAGTACAGGTCCTGGCACTGAGCCTCAGATAACTGGCCTCAGCCTTTTTCTTAAGTCTAAGAAATACATACACCCAACATCCCTCACAAATGCCCAGCATATGCTGAAAAGAAATAAAACAATGCCAAGCAGCGTGCAAACATTTGCCTGCAGATGACCAATTATTTTCAACAATAATTTCACAAATGCATCAGATTTGAGCATATCCCATGATTATTCTTCCGCTGCAACTGCTGGGAGTTCCCACTGACCCCAGTTTGGGGCTTCCTGGAGCCACCAAGGGAGGTGGGTTCCAACCAGGGCAGCCTTCACTGGGCAGAAGCAAGGGGTGGGATTGTGAACAGCTCGAGTCAGCAGGAGAAATAAGCCTTGAGAATAAGCTGCTAACGGAACAACTCACCTGAAACAATCTGACGGTTTCTGCCAGGACTGAGTAGAGCCACAGGTGTGGGCACTGCTCTCTGCAATGTTCTGCACCAAGTGATGCCTGTGCTGAGCAGGTAGCACTAAGGGCTGGACGGCTGCAATATAAATCACGCCAGGCACTGGAGACAACCTCCAAAGTTTGAAATAATGTTTGCATGAGAGCAAGATGTTGAAATATTGATTGAAACTGGGCTTCATCAGCAATACTTTGATTATTATACTGGCTGCTAAGGAAGACACACCCATCAATGTGTTGCATTCTTGCTCATAAAAGGGTGATCATTGCACTATTCACACCAGGCTGCTCACTTGTATCCACAGCCAGTGGCTCCAGTAAAATAAAAAGAAAAATAAAAAGACATTTTGATTTCAAAAATGAGGCAAAAACATGGAAACAGGCACATGCTGGAATACTGCAGAGACGAGGTCCAAGCAAATATCTGCATCCTGGGGAAGGAAAGGGTGGGCAAGGGGGAAGACTGAGCACTTCACCCCAGTTTAAATCCAAAGTAGCATGCCAAAAGCAAAGAGTTACTAAATATTTTATTGATTTAAATTCTACATTGGACGAGGGGGAGGGATTAACTAGCAGGTGCCAGTTTTCCCACTGCTTAGCTTTGCTCAAGGAATAATTGTACATACACAGAGGGTTTTTTCTGATCTTATATACAAGTTAACTTTCAGTGCCAGCGATAAGGGTGGAAAAGGGATGGGAAGAATGCCATTAAAGCCTGTGTTTTCCAGCTTTATTGTTCTTAACCTCATGCTCAGGCAGAACAGAGCAGCTATCTGAGGCAATATAGTGTTTACATATGCCCAAATTGTTATGCAAACACAGGAAGACCTATTGGAGTAGAGGGAACGGGCACCGAGCACAGAGCTTCTCACCATCCCTTGCAGAAAAAATGTTTTTCAATGTGGAAAGGGTGAGAGAGGTCACCCCCGAGGAATCCAGCCAGGATCCTCCCAGCCTTTGCCTCTCCCATCCTCCTCCTCCTCCTCTCAAATTCCCCAGCAGCCAGCATGGGCTTCAGAGTTAAAGAGGCAGGCTCATTATCCAGCAACATTGTCTGGGGGCTGCATTTGCATGAAGAACCTAAAAAGAGGGTAGAAATACCTAAGGAGAGAGAAGCTGTCCTGTATGAAACAGGATTGACTTTGTGCTTCTCTGTACTCATGCAGAAAATGAAAGCACAGGAATTAAGGGGATACTCCAAAGGCCTACAGGGGCACTCTGCAGCATTCAAGTGCGAGTGCTTTTTTTTAACAAGTGCAAAGTGTTAACTTTCAGATTAAATCCATCCTGAGTCAATATTCAAGATCTAAAATTCAAAATTTGGTCACGAACTCTGCAGCCACAACTTCAGTTCTATCTGTAGTTGCTACAAGAGACATCAGAGACAAACACTCTGGGAATGCAGCTTCATCCTCTAGAAGAAGGAGGATGAAGTCACAGGTTTTCACACAGGTTTTCACAAGAATAAGTCATCACAAGTTTTCATCAACCTTTATCATCCAAGCTTTCAAAAAGTTATTGCTGATGAAGAACTAAATAAATCCCTGACATACATTGTCACTGCCTGAAAAAGGTCTCACTGCCAGCCAGAGCTCAGTAGCTTTTGCTGCTGGATCACCACGCTACAGAATAAAATCTCCCCACCAGCCCAAAAGAGACACATGACCAACTTAGCCCTCAACTTTCTTTCTCTCCTAAACTACATGAACTTCTCCAAATTTCATGAACTTCTGGCTAGAAGTCAAATTTCTAGAGCATAAATCACCCTTGTCAGAAGTTTGAGCCTTCTAGTATGGCAAAAATGAGCCACGGACACAGAACCAGACACACAGTAGCTGCAAGTGTCTCATTACCACCACCTTCCCACGGACTTCACTCCTCAGTCAGTCATCCTCCCAACATCAAGACATTTTCTGCCATCACCCACAGTCATTGCTATCAACCCCCCAGCTCTTCATCCCACAGAGGAATCCTGCATTCACTCGCCTGAGATGAATACCCTCTCTTTGGCTGTATGGAACGGGGCAACAATTTAGTTTGACCAGCTTGCGCACAGCTTGAAGAGTCACCAGCTGTGATTTCATGTCTGGCAGGCTCTGAATGCCTCTTGGTTGAGAACACATTCCTGCAGGACACCACCAGAACTGCCCCTGCGGCATCACTCCCCACTATGACCAGTTTGTGAGAGCTGGTAGCTAGCAAGCTTTGTTAAAGCTCATTAACATGTAGTGCTCTCATTTCATACAGTTCTACAATTTCCAATCGGAATATTGTGCAACACTGGAGTCAAATGGCTTAAGGAAATTAACTGGATTAACATGCAGCAAACACAGTGAGTCAAACCGGCAGTATCAGCTGTTTGGAGAGGTGGGTTCTCCTCACTCTCCACAGAAGCTGCCCTTGGGGGATGCAGCCTTTGAGCGCTAAAGCTACTTTTCATTTAATTTCATTTAATAACAGGGCAGGATTTGTGCTCAAGCCATTTATTACCACAGGACGTTGATTTCTTGTCCACCATTTTCACGTGCCGCGTCTGGTTGCGAAGCTTGTCATCTGTGTTTTCCACCAGGTTACTGAGGTCATCGATGATCTCTGGGGAAAGAGAAACACGAGCATTAATCTCCGAGCCCCGCAGCATCATGGCTCAACAAGCACACTCCTGCTGGAGGCTCCAAAATGGAAACCAGCTGCATCCTTCTGTCCTCCAGTATGACAGACCAGTGCTCCACATGCGCTGCAAGGTCCAAATCCTGGGAAATACTATGCAAGAGACCTCAACTTCAGATGCAGTGCACTCCTCCACTTCAAGAGCAGAAATAAAATATATAGCCTGAAATAACAGGATCAGTCTAGGTACCCACAAAGGCTACAAAACACTAGCCAAAGTAAGAGAATTAGTGTGTATGCTATAGGAAACCTGCAATTTCAGTCCCTGGAGCACAGCATCTCAATGCTTGGCGATTGCATAGTCATTAGAACAAGTTCAGAATCACCATCTCTGTAAATCCTTTAGAGAGCATTTGGTGCAGTCCCAACCAAGCAACCACAGAGGGTGCCCCATCCCTGGCAGTGTTCAAGGCCAGGTTGGACACGGGCTTGGAGCAACCTGCTCTAGTGGAAGGTGTCCCTGCCCATGGCAGGGGGGTGGAACTGGAGGAGCTTTGAAGTCACTTCCAACACAAACCACTCTAAAGTCCTAACTTGGCTCCATTACTGAGCTGTACAGATGGCAGTTCTGCCTGCTGCCCAGATGATCTTCTGTGGAAAGGAAAGGGAGCAAAATGTCTCCTACATCTATTTTTAACAAAGAAAGGAAAATTTTAAGCCAACCCACCCTCAGCCTCATACAACTGATGGCTTTAATTTTGCCATGGAAATCAAAGTAGGTAAAAGGCTTGTGCCAAGAGTGGTTGGTGGGTTGGGGTTTTTTAACACTGAAAATTAAAAGCCACATTCAGGTACCAAATTTCTTTCTTGCTGACTGTTATGCTCTAATTTTCTTGCAATACGCAGCCAGGGCTTCTTGCTGAGTCTATGAAAACATCACCTCTGAGCTGCCTTCTTCTCTGCAGGTAGGAACGGCTCCTTTTGTGTATGATAAATCAGGAGGACAGTGGCCAAAACCTGAATGCTACTGCAAGGCATCTTGCTCTGGTTACACTTCTAGCAGTTTCCCCACTACTGATCACTGCCTTACTAAATCTAGTTTGTCTTTTGGGACCAGGCTGGGGAAAGCAGCCATGCCACCCCAGCAGATCCAGCACTGCATCCCTGTGCAGCAGCACTGCTGGAGCATTCAGGTTTCACAGACTATAAGCAAAAGCAGAAGTTAGAGCACAGTGTTCAGTGAGCAAGAGACACTATTTTTGTGTTCATTTTTATGCATCATAACCCTGTCTGAATGCTGGTTAAGGGTTAAAGAAAAGAAGTCCCATCAACAGGACAGAGCCTTTATTAATTAACCTTTAGTGTATTCCTTCAAACAAGAAACTTCCCAAATATCTCTTCTAGGAAAAAGGGGATGACACAAAAAAAGGGCATTTCTTGGACTTCCAAAACTTCCCTGCGACACTAGAAGAAAACCTTGGGCTGGCAAGGGTAGTGCCAATAGGTGCCATTAGTTCTTGCAGCTTCTCAGGAGCACTTTACCTCCCAGCTGGCCATCGCCTTTAGACCAGCAGTTGAAAGGGGACGGTTTCCTCCAAAACCCACCTGCCTGCACCAGAAGGTGTTAGCTGTTGGAAGGTGAGTTAGCTGGGCAGGGTGCTTGCATCCTCAAACCTTACCAAGTGCCAAGCACTGTAGCTGGATACAGAGATAAAACCAGTTTGATCATACATAAGGATAACAAAACCCAAATATCAAATAATCAGAAGTTCTGAAGGCACAAAGGTGCTTCAGAGGTGTGCGCAGCACAGAGGTTTTAATCTCCCAGAGAGTTGGGAGACTGAAGCATCACCCCTCTGATGCACGCATTTTAAGGCTGCCCAAAAGCAATGTAATCTCCAGCAAATCCCTATGTAAAATTGTATCAGCACCTACAAAACATTGTACTTTGAAAATACAAAAAAGATCTTAAAATACAAACTCCTGCTTCATGTCCCACAGCCTAAACCATCACATGAAGGGAGGGCAGAGGGCAACCATCAGCTGCTCCTCTGCATGTGCAGCCTCCATTTTATCCTGTGGCTCTAAATCGTTCACCACTCCTGCAGTTAGGCAGCATCACCACACCAAAGCTGCTCTATTCCAGACAAAACTCTCCAGATTTGTGAAGTTGCTTATAATATCAAGATGTTATTGTTCATCCTACACCAAAATACATTTTCCCAAGTGATGGCAGGTGCTGTATTTGAACTGCAAGATTTGCTCAGTCCATAGCTTAGATATTAACTCTCCTCCACCTCCCACCCAACTTTCCCAGGTCTAACATCTGCAAAGCCAACAACGTTTTGGGGAAGCTTTATCTGCCTTGTGTGACTCAGCACACAGGAAAGGCAGCACAGAGCTGCTGCAAGGGCAGGCATGTTCATAAGTGTCTCTGAATCAAAGAAACGCGCCGAAAGTTCCCATCGTTGTCAAGGACAAAGTGATAAGGATGCTTGGGAAACAAGAGACTTTCCTTTGCCAGCATTGACCAGACCCTCCTTGAAAAACATCCTGTTGAACATGCTGCAGCTAAATGAGAACAAATGTGAGGAGGAAAATTTTCTGTCATCGTTTCAAAGCCCAAGGCAATGCAATTTGGATTATGTTGAGAGCCTCTCCTTTCCCATCCCCCTGTGCAAGCCAGTGCCCTGTCACACCAACCAGCGGGAGCCATTTCTGAACCAGAGAACCAGACAGTGCAGCTTGGGAGAAGCAGGACAAGGGGGAATGGCTTTAACCTGCCAGAGGGGAGACTGAAAGGAGCTCTGAGGCAGAAGCTCTTCCCTGTGAGGGTGCTGAGGCGCTGGCACAGGGTGCCCAGAGAAGCTGTGGCTGCCCCATCCCTGGCAGTGTTCAAGGCCAGGTTGGACACAGGGGCTTGGAGCAACCTGCTCTAGTGGAAGGTGTCCCTGCCCCTGGCAGGAGGTTGGAGCTGGATGAGCTTTAAGGTCTCTTCCAACCCAAACCATTGTAGGATTCTGTATCTATAGGTCTCCTGTTACGGCCAGGTTTCAGGGGAGCAGGCCACTTCACCAAGCACATAGCCCAAAGCTCAGCAAGCAACCGGTCCTTTGGTGTAACGTGCAGTTAAGACCAGAAGTGTTGGGGCACTCAGGAGGTCCGAGCAGGGTCTTCTCCTTCGCAGCTGCACTGGGGCTGGCATGCGGAGAAAGCACAGGGAGGTTCTCACCCATCACCAGTTGAGTCAGAAGCCCGTTCGAGCAGGTTCCCCAGGCCAGAATGCCCTTGCTACCACCAACACCCTTCACAGGAACACCCATCCACCCCTCTATCCCCACCAACATCCTGTTGTGGTTCACAGCAGCTCTTCACCTTCATGTTAAAGAATTTCTCCCCACTCTAAGGCAAAGGAATCACAATGGAAATGCACGCTGTGCAGGGCAGAGCTGACAACTAGTCATGAATTTCTAAAGTAGGCAGAACTGCTGCCAGAGAAAACTAACTCCACACCTAAGAAGGTCTTCAGAGTGCTGACGATCCAATGTCAGGTCTCAGTAGGCTCCAAAGACCACAAAGACATCTGACAGATGACCCACCTGCAACCCGCTCTGCCCTTCAAGGTGGCAATTTCTATCACCTCCCATTTACCTGACAATGCACGGAACAATTTAAACTAAATAAACCTGGAAACAGGGAAGGAGTGAGGATCCCCTGACACGAGGGAGCAGACGGAAGAAGCTGGCTGACGGCTAAAGGACTGCAGTGACCTCTCAAAGGACGTTTCCGGAACACTGCACTGCAAACCACATTTCAACCCATAACACGGGTTTAGCCAAAGTCTTCTCTCAGTGAAGCAGGATCCTGAAGCAGAAGGTAAAACCTGCTGAACAACCCTGGTATTAAAATCTGAGTAATTTAAGCCTAGCTGAAACAGGAGAAGTTTGAAAGTAGCCCTGAGGAGAAGGGCTTGGGGGTACATGAGAGATTGGCCATGAGCAGACAATGCATGCTCACAGCCAATATTATGTTGGGCTGCATCCAGAGGAGTGTGGCAGCAGGTCAAGGGAGCTGATTCTGCCCCTGTGCTCTGGGTGAGCCCCCACGTGGAGTACTGCATCCAGCTTTGGAGTCAGTCCTCTCCTGCTCCAACATCAATCCTGCCTCCTGGGGAGAACAGAGGTATTTACTGCAGAGAGCATGAGCAAAGGGAGGAAAAGCTCCTTCTGCTTATTTAAAAAGAAAAAAATATAAGAAATTGTGGGTTTGTTTTGTATTTTTCATTACACTTAAAACCTATTTTTGCCCACAAACCAAATACAAACCTCACTTAATCCGACCTGAACTTGTTGCTGCATCAGCTATCACAGCTAAGGAATTAAAGCTTCCAAGCAAAGAATTGACAAATAACTCTTACTGCTTTGCTTCTCTGGTCACAGCAAGATGAAGCCCTGTCAATGCCTACAGCCAACTTCTAAAGAATCCAGAATCCATCGATTGACCCACATCAGCACAAGAATACTCAGAGATGTGAGCACATCGGTGTTAAATATTTCTTTTCAAAGTTTTACTGAGATGGAAAATGAAAAGTGAAGTGACTGCTCCAAACCCTCGATATAAGCACTTTCCATAAGCTCTACTGTGCTTGGCTTCACCATCTCAAATGATACATCAAAGATGATGTTTAGAGTATCTCTGAATTAAAGGGTTGCATTGTAAGTCACACTAGCATCACATTTTGCTGCTACCAAATTCCGCAGTTCCTCCATGTGCACGTATGTGTGCTAAGTGACTACCAGAAGGTAAAATCCTTCCCTTAAATTGCAGCGGAACAACCACTTGGTAGCAGCAGTAAGGGTGTATTTATGGCTAATAGATAGAAAAGTAAAGATTCATGCAAAAGACACCAATCGAGAACAGGCCATAGAAAACTGAGCAGAAAAAATTACATATAATCCTAGGAATTTATCAGGAAAAAAGCTCAT